GCTGCGCTCGTACTGGAGCACGCGGCGCGGCGCGCGCGCTCCCGACTCTCCGGTTGCTGCCATGACAGCGCGGGCCTCGGGGCCCAGGTGCCCCTCCCCGCGCTCCAGGAAGGGGCGGGGCCTCGGGGGAGCTCCGTGCCTGGTCTGAGCAGGGCTCCGGGCTCTCCCCGGTCCGCGGCATCCACAGCCTCCTCCTGGGCTCCTTGTTGCCACAGCCTGCCTGCGCCTGCTGGATCTCTAGCTCCACCTACCCAGCAGCACCCTCCCCCTCCCCGGTTTGGCATACTGATTCCCTGCCCAGGTGCAGAGGCAGGTGGCAGTGCATCTGCAATTGCAAAATCTGGGTAAGGAAGAAGGGGACAGGCAGGGCCTCCCCAATTTCCTACCATGGGGCAGGGAAGGGGCAGCTCCCTGCTCCTTCATCCATTGCTCCCAGTCTTCTTTGGGCATCCTGAAGTAGTCAAGCCAGCACTCTGCTCAGGCCCAGGGCAAGGAGCTCAGCCCCCCTCTTTCTGCCAGCAAAGGGGGCCATGGAGTTGCACCCTCCTTTTCAAAATCCTCAGTATGCCCATGTCTGAAGGTGAAGCCACATAGCTTCTTGCCATGTCTTGTATCAGCTACTCTACTGTCACTGGAGAGGCTCCTCAGTGAAGGCACTCAATCTCTGATCCATGGTTCCTCCCCTAGCCTCAGTTCTGGCTGCACTAACCACATTTCCTTCTGTGCACCAGGGGGCTTATGATGTGGAGAGGAGACATCGTCAGCTCTTGGAGGCAGTTAGCTCCCTGGCTGGCAGGAACCGGTGAGTGTTGGGGCCACTTGTCAATCATCAGGGGGCTAAAGTGCTTTTTATGGAGGGTTATTGGCCATTGTCCAGGGATACTCAGTGCAGCTGCTGCTACAGAGCCCTGAGAGAGAGAGAGAGAGGTTGCTTCCCATTGTTATGGACTCCTCTTATCCAACTCAGTCCTCCCACTGCTGGTAGAACAAGTTTGTGGTGTGATATGTGGGTTGCATTTGTGACATGGACCTTCTGCATTCTCTCTTATTTAGGCGGAAGCTGACTGAGCGCACTGAGGCGAGTGCACAGGTGTCTGAGTTTGGTGTCAGCTGTGAAGGTGAGATCCTCCTGATGAACTAAAAACAAGGGCTGAACATTGTTCCAGAGCCCTGGCCAAGGGCTTCCTCAGTCTGATTAGATCTTTTATATATTTGCTGTGTGTTGGTAGTGTGGAGTCCTACTTGCAGTTGCAGTGTGCTGTCTTAGGAGGGTAGAGCACAGGAAGTTTTCTTTGCTACTGTGGCAGGTGGTGGCTTTAGGTGCCTTCTGCCAGGAATTCTCCATGGTATCCTACTTGCTCTGATTTACTGGTCCTTTGTCAGGTGCTGGGGAGAAACTGATCTTGTCTGACCTACTGGGGCCTATCAAGGCCTCATCTTTGCTGGGCACTGTGAAGAAGCAACTGAACAGAGTCAAGCAGAAGAAAGCTGTGGAGCTGCCCCTCAGCAAAAGGGAGGCACAGCGGGTGAGTGAGTGGGCAGAGGGTGGTGCAGGGGTTGGACATCTAGCTGGGAAGAAGGAGGGAGCATCAGTGACAAGAAGCAGTTGCATGAGTGGGGCAGCAGTGGGTTCTGCATGGCTGGGGGTCCTTGGTATTTTTTAGAGGTGCGCTGATACATCGGTCCCATATTGGATTGGCACCAATATAAGGAAAATTGACTGTATCGGCAGATGGCTTTTTATGGCTGATGTGGCCGATAAATGCTCTGTGCATGTGCAACCACAGTGCAGCATGGAGAGTAGCTGGGTCTGGCTGGTAAGTCTGTGGGGAGGGAAGGGGGTGGGGGGGGTGGGCAGGTCGAGCTG